ATGGAGTGCAGGAGTCATCGTGGATTCGCACTGCCAATGATGAGTCCCACAGCAGGAAGAAACGGCCACCCAGTGCTTCCAGGTTTTTAACGGTGTGGTCTAACATTGATCGATTCATGATTTCAAATGTGTTGTAACCTAACAAGCTTCAGTTTTAAAAAATCGCTAAAAATATTTATGAGTTATTTTAAACAAAAAATAAAGCTTAGAAACAATTTTTGCTTGATTTAAACAAATGTAACTCCTGAAATTAAACATTTTTTTCAAAATATAAAGAAAAGATATAACCTTCAAAATGGTTTACTGAGTCAGTATATAATGAATTGTATAAATGACATTGAATCATGAACAAGCAATCATGTTTATTGTTTAAAAATAGTAATATTAAAAACTTTTGGCATTGACCAATCAAAAATTCGCAGCATACACATACATACGCACACACAGGTAAGCGCGCGCGCGCGCGTAACAAATAAACGGATATCAATATAAATATAGCTTCTATTTAACATGATCTATCTATCACACATTAAAATATTTTCCTTTTCAAATTTCAAATTATTGAACTAATTAAAACTAATCAAATTACAATGTTTATATTTTTTTGTTGGATGTTAAATTTTGTTTAAAATGATTGTGATACGCGCGTAAAAATATCAAAAAAAAACACATTGAACAATTAACAAACAGATTGTATCATCTGATTATCAATTATTGTAAATAATTATCATTCTTATTATCGTAAATTTGACAATTTGAAATTAAAATTCCAGAAAACATATGCTAATTATAAGTTTCACATATTTTTAATTTTGCCGCCATTTCAAAATTTTTAAAAAAGTACGAAGTAAAACAACATACGAACAATTAAAACGGAGATAAATATTGAAACGAAAAAAATACTTTAATGTTGTGGAATTATTTTTGTTCGAAAAAAAGAAAACATTTTCTGTTTGTTTGTTTTAATCTTTCACGATAGAAAAATAAAAAATAAAAACAAACAAAAAAGGAAGGCGGTAAATTTGTAAATCATATCATTCAACTTGTTTGGAAGGAGATAGGATCAGTAGGAAAGTAGTCAAGTGAGTGATGTTTTTTTTTCCGCATAATTTGAGTGGATCTGTCTTTTCAAAATGTTAATTAATAAAAATATAGGTGGTATAAATTATTTTATTTTTTAGAAACCAACTTACATTTTTTATTCCGGTGTTGTGAAGATTGTTAAGTTACACATTTGAATCAATCATGGATCGATCAATGTTGTAAGACCACACAATTAGGATAAATCTGGAAGAAGCACTGATAGACGGCTGTTTCGTCCTGGTATGGGACTTATCAGTGGCAGTGCGCATACACGATGACTCCCGCACTCCACAGGATTTGAACTTAGGATCTTTGATCTCGCGCGCGAACGTCTAACCTCTTTTTTTATCCACCAAACTAGAATGTGTTCACACCTACATGTTTTAGAAAGATCACATCGATTCTGATGATGTTTACAGTAGTACACTAAAGTAAAAATTGGTTTTTTTTCGCCTAAGTGTCTTGATTTAGTTTGATTTTCTATTGTCTCATTTTATCTGCAAGATAAACACTAGTGTCACGTTGTTAACAAACTAATCTGTCATTCATTAGGATGCGCGTTTTGTTTTGTATGCGACCTGCATCCTAGAGTCAATGTTCACTTTGGGACTCGAACCTAACATAGTTCACTTTGAATATCATTGTGTTATGCGCTAAATTATTGAATCCAAATAGTCAGTGACTTGTTCAAATGTAATTCATTTTTAATTGGTTACGTAAATATTCCCAATGATGTTTAGGGTTATAACAACTTTTCAGTCACTTAGAAATATACACATTCTATGCAGATCGCTTTTTATATTAGGATGAAGGTTCATTTAGAGAATGATGATTCTCGGATAGAACGATACGTAAGTCCACTAGTTTACACTACTAATCACTATCTGTTTATACTAATAATGTTTTTGACTGAACGGTAATATCACGACAATTCGTATTGATCAACTCTAGACGACTGCAGTCTAGAGGAGAGTTGTTCGCACTCAAGACCGGCAATCTCAGGCCCGGTTTTTATTTGCGAGGTCAGAGATATTATGGAGGAGTCCTATATTAGGACAAAACAGGTGTTCAGTACTTTTGGGTCCTTAACTATATATGGTTAAAAATACACAGTAATGGGAGCTTGCTAACTGTGTTCTGTTGTAGTGGACGAGAACACAGGTGGGGCAACCGAATTGTATTTAACAAAAATTACAGAGTTACTCAGTAAAATCGGAAAACCATATCGTAAATCGTTCATTTGCAAAATATCAATACATCATATCGAACTGGACTGTTCCTGTTGCCAAACATCAATCCATTGTCACTATTCATGCATTTCATACAAATTCCATTGTGTTCTTCTAGCTCTTCCTTTCTTGATCTTCCCCCATCTTCTGCTGCCAGACATCACGAGGACACTCACGTCATATACTACTTATAAGTAGCTCGCACCACACTGTTCTTGAACTCAATTCTGGGCTGTGGAAAAATTGATATGTTCTGAATCATTTAGAGTTAAGATGATCTTAACTCTAAGTTTAGGGTTAATCCCTACTAATCAAAGTATATCATCAGTTGAAACTTGAGATATGAGTCTGCATAGATGAGAAATTACTCTTAGACTATAGTAACACTATCATTCAGATTCTGATTTATACAACCCACTAGATCCCACTACTAATCACAACACGAAAGCAATCTACACAGAATGCAAATATGCCAAATTAAGACTAATCAGTTACAAGTCGAACACAACAATGGGAAGAGTTATATAACCGGTAACAGTGCACACCCACGATTCCTGCTACTGTGAGGGATTCGATCTTGTGCACGCAGACGCCGAATTTCTAGGACACTGAGCCGAAGGCATCCAACGATGCTATTATCTAACTCTGATCAATCATTATTGAACCAAAATTTTAGAAAAAAACAACCAATCATCTTACAAATACTTTGTTTAAAAACGCACAAAACAATTCACCGTAGATAATTGACCATTTAACAACTTCTCACACATTGTTCAATTATCAATATATTCCATACGTGGTAAAAATAAAAATTTATCAGAGCATATTATACAAAATTCCAACACAAAGTTCAAATGGATTCAATATATATATATATATATATATATATATATATATATATATATAGCCAAAAGCAATTTCCATAGGCATAAAGTTGTATTCTTTATTGATAAGTTATGAACAATGAGAATATGGTTTATTAATTACTATTCATACTACTAACACTACTAATACTACTACTGTTATCATTAAAATTATGAAAGAGAAAGCCTTAACGAGGGAGAGAGAGAGAGCTAGAGAGAGAGCTAATGGTTCACAGAAGAACAAGTTTGACCTTATTTCTGCAATACAATTACTAACAATGTGAGTGTGTGTGCGTATGTAGTGTAAAGTGTATCTTACTGCATGGTTGTTACAACAAAACTATGTTCAATTTTCCTTTCAACAACATTGACATAAGATAAATGTGTAACTTACTGAACGAGAATATGAATTGATAATTGAAACTAAAAAAACTATCAAACTGGTCATTTGTTTTTTAATTTGGTATAATAATAAAGAATGAGTAGAACAAGAATTCTTTTAATGGATAAATTTTCAAGGTCGCCAAAGTGGCGGAAAATTTGAAGTTGGAAATATTGTCATTGAGATTGAGCTTTGTGTGTTCTTCCTTCCTTGCTTGCTCGATCAAACTAATTGTTATCATGGAAACAAGGTGAGCATGAAAAGGCTATCGGATGACAAGAGGTTTCCAATGGTGGTCTAACATTAATCGATTCATGATTTCAGTGAAACCCAATAGTGTAAAAATTATCATATGAACACTGGTCACTAGTTGTGGTCAGAAACTTTCTCCTAGTTCTAGTGATAGAAGTTGTGACCAGTGGAGTTCAACCCTGCTCGGATGTGAAGCGGTGCTCACTGAAGACAGTGAATGAGGTTGTGCAAGACTGTGGATTGATCGAAGTTAAACATTGACACCGTTTGATGCCGGCTCAGTAGTCCAGAGGTTAAGCGTTAGCGCAAGACTAAAGGTCCTGGGTTCGATTCCCGTGTGCAGGGTTCTAAAGCTGGTCTAACATTGATAGATTCACGATCTCAAAAGACATATATTTAATAAATTTAGAGTAACTGAATGAAATAAAGACGGAACACTTTAAAATAATAACTGTCAACCTGAGTTATTGTTATGTTCGTCACTAAGTATGCTTAAGGCTATTATGAGTTTACCTTAGTCGATAACCAGCGTCCAGGTAGGCTACCTTGAAACCCAAGCTGAAGAAAAATGGCTTTGCAAGCGGAGAAAGTATATTCTACAAACATCCAGCAATCACAATACAATCAAGTACACACAACTCTCGTTTATTATTTATACATCATAGAAACGTCCTTGTGACAGTTACGAAAATAGTACACTAAAATAGTACAGCAGCCAATCACAACCATGGATTTTCATAGTGGGAAATGAAATCCCAAAGTCAACTGATCAGCTCATGCTCGCAAACGTGAAATCCAAAATAAGGCATTTAATAAGCGAGTTTTGGGGATCTAACATCCCCAACAGTTATGAAATGAGTAGCCAATAAATAACTAACTGTGTTGACTTTGTATAGTAAACCTCCATAGAGCGCACTTCACAACTTGTTGACGGATCACAATCTAACAAGTTTTTACAATTTACCACTACAATACACTCACGTGATTTAACCAGTATTGTATAATGCAGTAATGCAGAACACAACTTCCATTCCCCCTGTTTAAGATGGACATTTGTTTTGTACATTGAACCGATTGAACAAACCGATTGAAATTTACAACTGTTCTCATAGAAAAATAATTCCCATTCAATTAATTGTGAAATATTTTGAAAAAATAAGAAACTTACCGTTTTTAACAAACACTTAGTGAATTGAATATTAATTAAAACACAAAGTTTAAACACAAGGAGCGTAAAATGAAATTATTTTTAACACAAAATTTTTGTAGCGAAAAATGAAAATCTGTTCAAGAACTTTTGTTTATATGTATTCACAAAAATGTAAGTTGACTAGTACTACTGTGGTGCGCGCTACTTATAAGTAGTATATGAGGCGCGAGTGTCAACGTAATGTCTGGCAGCAGAAAATGGGGGAAGATCAAGAAAGGAAGAAGAGTGGGAACACACAATGGAATTTGTATGAAACGCATGAATAGCGAAATGTCAGACTATGGATTGAAGATTTGCAAATCGCCCGTTTACGATATGGTTTTCCTATTTTACAGAGTAACTCTGTATTTTGCGATTAATACAATTCGGTTGCCCTCACCTGTGTTCTCCTTCACTAAACTACTTATTCTTTGCTTAAGTAAAAATCCTTGAACATTGAACGAATATTTCACTGGTTGGGCTATCAATCCGCCAACAATCTACATCCGCACTCTTAGTTCTTAGTTGAACAAATACTTACTTACTTACTCATGTCTGTTACCCCCAATGGAGCATAGGCCACCCACCAGTTTCCTCTAACCAACTCTGTCCTAGGCTTCCCTCTTCAGTTCAGTCCAATGTTTGTTCATTCCTCTCATGTCTTTCTCTATTTCTCGGCGTGATGTGTTCCTTGGCCTTCCTCTTTTCCTTTTGCTTTGAGGGTTCTATGTAAGGGCTTGTCTCGTGACGCAGTCAGGTGCTTTTCGTAGTGTATGTCCTATCCACTTCCACCGCTTCTTCTTGATTTCCTCCGTCCACTAGAATCTGGTTTGTTCTCTCACACAGTACGTTGTTGCTGATGGTGTCTGGCCAACGAATCCAAAGTATTTTGCGTAGGCAACTGTTAATAAACATTTGTATCTTCTGGATGATGGCTTTGGTAGTTCTCCATGTTTTCGCTCCATACAGTAGAACTGTCTTGACATTTGAATTGGAAATCCTGATTTTGGTTTTGGTTGAAAGCTGTTTGGAGTTCCAGATATTTTTCAACTGTTAGAAATGCAGCCCTTGCTTTGCCAATCCT